TTTTCATATCGTAATAAATATTTAACTGTGATTAGTTGGACTTATCGCTTATTCCAAACGCTTGTACTGTCTACTGACTGATATGTCTTGCCAACATGGCTTGTTCCAGCCTTTGGACAAACTGAAGATGGTAGAGAAAATTTGTAGCTCAGGTGGATGATTGTGGTGGTATTTCGTTCACTGAGTTAAATGTTTTGGTTGTAGAGCTTTTATTGTTCTTCTACTGAACAACATCATCAGTAGCACAAACTTCAGATACAAGTGGACAACTATTTTACTCAAACTACTCACATACTTTCGATCTTGTCAACCATTTTACTGTGTGTGTGTGTGTGCATTGCTCAGTTCGCTTCATATCTGTCTAACCCATTTCCGCTTTATATCGCCTTCTTCAATTTGCTTTTAGACTTCGTATTCTCACATCTCTGTCTGTGCGAACGATTAAATGAACTAAAACTCATTCGACCAGATGCGTTTCGCATACAGAAATTGAAAGGGATGTCTAGTTCATAACATACTCCGATGTTCACACGAACTAGAGTCAGATTGCGGATCACTAAAGTGATAAGTCCTACTTTGTATTTTTAATGCAGCCACTAAAACCAATACACATTTTAAATTAAAAGCTCATCATCATAGGTGAGACAAAGAGGTCTTAAAAATGAATTCACCAATTAAAAAACAGAGAACTATTCACTGCACCAATTAATTCTTTCTTGTTATTTATTAGGAAAATTATACGCAGTTCTGAAGGCGTACAAAACACACATTTGAAGAGAAAAAAAAGAAACCCAATCCCTCCTGGGTGACCCAAACTTTTAAAATATAGTATTTCAACTCGTTTTTTAAACTTTTAACAGGGTTTTTTTAAAATAACCAAAAAAATTTTTTAAAATTTTCACAGCGTTTTTTAAAATTTTTTGTAATCCTTAGAATGTCAGAAATAAATAGAAAAAACAACTTGATTTCAAATGAAAAAAGAAAAAGCCTTATAAAAAAAAGTTATTGAAGATGGACAACAGCGTCAAGGATGCGGCATTTCTTACAGATGTAAACTATTAGGCCGCTACAAATATTATAAGGTTGCATATATAAAAAGGAATCGCGAGTTGAGAAGAAAAAAACAGGAAAACCATCAAATAAGAAGATATGCGGTGATATTATCAATTTTGTTGAAGAATTGATAGAATTAAACCCGTTAATAACGATGGTAGAAATTCGAGAAAAAATAGAAAACATATTTTCTATAGGCCTTTCTCTTGAATCTATATATAAGAAGGATAATTTATAGACTTCAGATTACTTTGAAAAAGATTTCTGTTATGGCGGGCACTTAAAGAAGATTGGACTATCTCCTAAAACTGTTTTTTTCTGCTTAAGATTCATTATTTTTGGTTGTATACAAAGTAAGCATTTTATTCCTATTATTGTGACGTTGCTCTTATCCTATACTCTTGTTTGAGGCATTAACTGTTGTTATATTCATTTCTCATTTATGAACTATAGTTAATTGACTGCCATTGCGTTACCCCAGTTCAACACCTCACTATTACTGTTATTTTTGTATTGATGTCAGTTTTCTAATTGGTTTACGATGCAGCTCTGATTTTTGCATGTATATAAAGGCATGATTGAGATAATTAAACGATCTGATCTGATCTGATCTGATCTGTCTCATAGTCGTTGTTTTCCTCTATTCCGTGGGCTGGTAATTGAGAGGCTTGACGTGTCTGTACAGTGATTAGCCGATCATCAGGGTCATTGTATATATTGCACAAACACAACAATTTCTTATACATCGGTCACTATTAAATTCGGAATCCAGTAAAAACAAACGCCAAATTTTATGCTCAAAATTTTATGAACATTTGTTGATTCGGTGAATTCAGATAAGTTCATTCAGTTTTTTAATCAACTAATTGAAAAATGCACTCAAAAATCAATTTTTAAGAATTGTAATTTTATACTTGATAATGCGAGGATTCATCACTCAATTATCACCAGGGATGATTTACAAGGTTATTCAAGACACGTACGTCGCAATTGTTTAAAAGCGATTGCTAAACAAGATTTTAATTAAAAGTAGTTCTTATTTTATTTTTTCAAAAAAATTTTAAAAAACGCTGTGAAAATTTTAAAAAATTTTTTGGTTATTTTAAAAAACCCTGTTAAAAGTTTAAAAAATGAGTTGAAATACTATAAAACAAAACGCAATTCGACCAAAAATTCAACACTGTACCAAAACCAAACACAACACGACCACAAATAATTCAAATTCAGTTGTGTTAAAGAGAGAGAGGGAGATTTTCGTTCGTTAGTGAACATTGAAATGATTTGTTAAATTCAATGTGTTGTTATTTATTGATTAAAGGCACACAAAGACTGTTTTTTCTTTTTGATAACTTACACTTTTCTCTTTATTAAATGACATAATGCTGTGAAATGATGTTTTGAGGAAAAAATAAGAAGAATTTTTAAGCTAAGTGAGGAGATTCTTTACTTTTTTTGTCATAGTCAGTAAATTATGTAACAAAAACGACATAGTTGGATTTCGGTTCATTAGTTTGGGGAGGTTAATTAGTTGTATTAGTCAGTCAGTCAGTCAGTTACAAAGTAGAACTTCATACATCAGTACATAAGTTCAGGTTGCCATACCACACATTAGCACGGAGATGCGATTGTCAATTCAAATCCTATAGTAGTAGCAGAGGTAGTAGTAGTAGTAATGAGAAGACTGAGGCAGGCGAGGAAGATTGAAAACATTACATTGAATACTCTATTTGCACACCATCTCTCTGAGTCGTGACATCCAACACTCCATCCTTCTTCCATTCCTGTTGTTGCTTCCTTTTTTCTTCCTGTTGGTACTCCATTTACTTCTTGCTTTTGCTCCATTTGCTTTCCATTTTCCTCTTCTGACCGTGGTGAGACTTCTTACACATCCCTTATTATACTACTTATATCGTTCGTATAAGTAGCACACACCACAGTAGTAGTAATGGAGAAAATTAGTGTTTGAAAAAAAAACGATTCAAGAAGTATAATTCAGTGAAATTTGTGCCATGTTTTCGTTTATTTGCCACTATCTTTCGTCTAACCTACTGCTACACCACGAAACATAGCTCGTCAAAGCAGTCGGTGGTTAGGCATACGTAACACAAGTCCCAACCACCTCAAATGATGCAGTTTCACTACTTCATCGATTGATCTGCCACCCCTACCTAGTACTCGTCTCCTAACGACAGCATTGCTTCGAAGACACCCATGATCTAAAACCAGTAACCTACGAATACCGTTTACTCTTACTGGCGATGTTCCACAGCCATAAAGTAGGACGGAGCAAACTACTGCACAGTATACTCGTCCTTTGATTAGAGAACGGATATCACGCCTACGCCATAAGTGACGCAGGTTGGCAAAAGCCAATCGAGCCTTCTGTATCCGAGCTGAGATTTCGTCAGTCACCAGGCCATCAGCACTGACGAGACTCCCCAGATACGTGAGGCGGTCTACACGCTCGACTGCTTCACTCCCTATCACTAGTTTAGGTGCCGATGCAAGCCAATCTTGAAGCAACATTTTGCATTTCGAGTGGGAAAACCGCATCCCAAACATGTTTGCATTGTTGCTTAGGATGGTCATGAGAAACTGCATTTCGTCAGTGTCTTGACCAAACAGGACTGTGTCATCGGCATACTCTGTGTGTACAAGACCGGAATTCTCGAGGTATGATTCCCAGTTAAAAGGAGTGATGATGAATGAGCATTGGATAAGGTGTCCATCCTACACTATGAGTACGAGAAAGATGAGCTTAGGATATATATATATATATATATATCTTAACTACTACCAATGCACAAATTGATTTAATCGGTTAACTGGAACACTATGACAGAAGGAATTATATGATACATAAACTGTAAAAGAATCAAGTTTTTAGATTCCAGTTGCAGCAGAATAAAGAAAGACCAATCTATACGGTTAATTAATTATTAGTTATTCATTTCTAACGGATTTTTCCTTCTCACGATCATTATATGCCCCTTCACATGGTTTCCTATATACCTTATCTAATGTGGATATTTCTGGTTAACCTGAAGTTACTACATGGTCTGAATGATTTCACATTGAAATCACTACCATTAGAAACCAGGAAGCACTAAACAGCAGTTTCATCTTGTTATGGGACTCATCAATGGTAGTGCGCATCCACAACTCCTGCACTTGATAGAATTCGAATCTAGGACATTTGCTTTAGAGTGAAAACACCTAACCTGCAGGCCACTTGCATGCAAAGCATGGTCGGTGAGAGTAGGGGACATTCGTAGGTTGCTTGTCTTCGATCAGAGGTGTCTCTGAAGCATTGCTCGTGTATCATGGGATCACCAAGTGAGTAATAATGTCGTTAGGGAACGAGTTATAGGTAAGGATGGACAATCAGTAGGCGAAGTACTGAAACTTAAGCAGTTGAGGTGGTTGGGACATGTGTCACGAATGCCCAACCACCGACTGCCTCGACGAGCTATGTCTTGTGGTGTAGGAGTGGGTTGGAAGAAATCTAGGGGCGGACAAATCAAAACATGGCACAAATCCATGAATGTGTCGACTACCTGGTTGGTGACCGCGAAACGATGACAACCGATAGTTAGATGCCTTGAGTGACAAGGCTCAGAATCGTTCCCAATGGCGCAGGTGCATCCACTCGATGTGTTCTCTCAAATTCTAAACTTCTGAACTCCTCATCATCTCTATCTTCCTCTTTCTCATCGAATTATACTTCTCGAATCATATCTGCGAACCCTAATTTTCTCTAATACTGCTAATACTTCTATTATCGCTACCAGTATTGGATTTGAACTGACAGTTTCATCTCTGTGCTAATTCAGAACTGATGTACAAGTAAGAGGTTTTGAGTTATATCTGTCTGTCTGTCAGTCCATTAGGACAGCATTACAACGGTCTGGGTGTCTAACTTCGAACAATCTACGGGTTTCGTTCAACCACACGCACTGACTTCAGCAGGTAACTGCCTACACATGACAGGTCACGACGTATTCTCACTAGAACTCTAAGAATTAGTATCAACTAATCAAGTATTTGGTTTTGTTTTTTTTGCTAATTGTCACACTTTGGACGAAATCAAAATGTATGTTTTAGTGCGCTACATCTACACTTCCAACTAACTCGAAACAATTCAAGTTAGTTTTTGAATGATTGAATTTAGAGAGAGAGAGGGGGGGGGAATAAAATAAAAGATAAGAATGATGAGGTTTGCGTTTGAAATCATCGATCAATCATTGTTAGACCACCATTAGAAGAAACCTGGAAGCACTGAAAGACGGCCGTTTCGTCCTGGTATGGGACTTATCAGCAGTGCGCATCCACGACTCCTGCACCCCGCAGGATTCGAACCCGGGACCTTCAGCATTGTAGGCGAACGCCTAACCATCGGACCACTGGGCCGGCATCCAACAGTGTTAATGTCTAACTCTGATTAATGATCTAGGGATTTTGCACGACCTCTAACATTTGTCTCCGGTGGGTAGTTACTGTCCACACCCGACAGGGTTGAACTCCATTAGTCACGTCTTCTCAACTAGAACTCCGAGAATTTCCTCACGAAGCTGGTCACTAGTGAGCACTGTTCCGATATTTTGGCGCAGAGTTTTGGAGGTTTGTGTTTTTACACATTTGAAATCATCAATCATGTATCATCATCACATGCACACAAAAAATGTTTATTGATTTTAGGCATAAATATATTAAGTATAATAAGTTGTGATTGATTGATTGATTAATTGACTGATTGACTAAACTGACCTTGGTTTTTTGTTCTTCATAGCTTAATACTTTACGTGTCTGATCGGCATTGAAACGCATTAACGAGCATAGAACTTTGGATAATGTCTAAAGAAAGAAAAAATTCGAAAGGAAAATTGTTTCTAAGAAGTCGATTAAGCAATTGTGTTTGTTCAATCAATATTAGACACACACTACATAAACATAGATAAATTTGTCAAAATAGTCAGACATCATACCACATACTGGCTGGAACATATGTTCCTGAACGTTCTACCATACCAGGCAGGTCTATTGGAGAACGATGAGACTAAAAGCAGCTACTCAAGGTCTGAGGTCGAAGTCGCACTGCCGAATGACTGTAGAGGGGTGTGACAGCAGTGAGGTGTTTCCCTCGGACAACCAGCATCTGCAGCGATACGGCCTTTTCAAAAGGATGGAAGGGTTAGAAAAGTCCGACCCTAAAAATGTCACACCTCACCCTACCTCACGGATTTCCGTCTCCGGTAGTAGGGGCTGCTCATTAAGGGCTTTAGAAAAAGCGGAGCTAATACTCAAAAGACCTGTCATCAAAAGGCCGAGCGTGACCAGCCTCAAGCAGTTGTCCTTTGGGCTTTGTGGTCACGGTCCCAGGTCTTTAAGACCCACACTAATCTACCTTCCTTTTCAGGTTCCTCAAGAAACAACCTTCCACGGTGTAGGCAGCCTTGGAAGTGACAACCGCCCTCATACCCATAAAAGCACACGAGACCAAATTGTTTAAAATCAAATCCTTCCTACACCCCCTAATACCTCTCTTATCGTCACGATTAACTCTTCTCACATTCCTTTATCACACTGAACAGCTTGTTTCTTCAAATCACCATAGTAGTAGAGGTAGTAGAAGTATTTTAGCGGTAATGGAGATTAGTAGGGTTCTGAAAAAAAACTATTCAAGAAGTATTATAATCTAGTGAAATAAATTCAGAAAGAGAAAGCTAGAGGTGATGAAGAATTTACAGGCTTCGAATTTCATAGAACACAAAGAGTGGATGCACCTGTTCCACCATTTGCAAACGATTCTGAGCCATGTCATTCTGGATCGGTAACCCTCGACGATTTCTATCATCTCACGGACTCCACCAATCAAGTAGTTTGCATCTATCTATCTATTTAACATGGCTCCTCAGTCCACTGGTCAGTGACTTCATGAATTTACGCCATGCATGAAGTGAACACTTTGATAAAAGGTTAGCATCCCCCTCCTATTCAACAAGTTGAACAAAGAAATAATATTCGATAGAAAATTTTAACTAAAATATATATGCATTACGGGGTTGTGAAAATTGTTAAGTTACACATTTTTGAAACCATGAATCGATCAATGTTAGACCACCATTAGAAGAAACCTGGAAGCACTGGACGGCCGTTTCGTCCTGGCATGGGACTCCTGGGTTCGAATCCTGCGGGGTGCAGGAGTCGTGCATGCGCACTGCTGAGGAGTCCCATACCAGGACGAAACGGCCGTCCAGTGCTTCCAGGTTTCTTCTAATGGTGGTCTAACATTGATCGATTCATGGTTTCAAAAATGTGTAAAAATGTACGTATAGATATATTTACATACTTGAGTTTCACGTCCTTGCATATACTCGAATAGAACATTTTTTAAATACTGTAAAAAGAAATTTCAAACAAAAAAGAAGCACATTGAACAATTTAAATAGAAAAAATAAATATTTGTGTAAAAAAAAAACAAAAAATTACTTGAATAAATTTTAATGACATGAAAAAAAATTCAACTATCCCATATAGTCAGGCGTATCAGTCAGTCAGTTGCAACGTAGAACTTCGTACATAAGTACATCAGTTCAGGTTGCCATACCACATCAGCACAGAGATGTAATTGTCAATTCAAATCCAATAGTAGAAGAGTTAGTAAGGGTATTAGAAGTAATCGGAGAGGTTAGGATGAGAAGATATTATTCAAGAAGTGTGATTCAGCGAGAAAAGTTTGGAAAGTCAAAACTAGAGGGGTTGAAGAATCCAGAAGATTAGGATTTGAGAGAACGCAAAGAATAAATGCACCGGCGCCATTGCGAACGATTTTGAGCCATGTCATTCAAGGTCTCTAACCATCGATTATTATCATCTCCCGGACCTCAACCAGGTAGTCGACAATTACCGAGATGGGTAAGTCCACTTGTCATTGACTTCATGGATTGCTACCATGTTTTGGTTTGGCCGCCCCTAACTTTCTTCCAACCTATTCCTACACTACAAAGCAAAGCTCGACGAGGCAGTTACAGAGAGTAATTAACAGGGAAATATAAGTCAACGCTATAGCTCGTCTTAACAGATTAAACAACTTATTAGAAATAACAATGAAAGTAAATTACACCTGTAAATTGTCCATCAACTAACTATGTGGGAATTAATTCAGCCTGGAGCCCCTCCAGGTACACTGCCAGTCCTAAGCCTGGATAAAGGAAGAGGGTTGGGATTGGCGATTCCATCCCACAAAAAACTAACTCGCTAAATAAACGCTAACCAGAAAAAAATTATTCAAACCATTTAAATTCTGCTCTGGGAGTTAGTTAGAAAGTCTTCATTCAGAAGAGTTATGATCTCGAATGATGAAAGCCGAGGAGTTCCTTCTGGAGGTCACGAGGCCGATTCGCTCTTTAAAAACAAGAACCCTTCGACGGTGTGTGGGTAGCCGGGAAATAACATTCGGCCTCATATTACCCGTAAAAGCAAACGAGATCAAATCGGTCACAATCAAATCCTTTCCACACCTAATAACTCTCTTATCATGTAGCAATTAAACAAGAACAGAACTTATTAAAAGTTTGAAAGTCACTGAATAAATGAATCATTGAATATTACACATCATTCTGCAAAAAAAATCATTTTACTGTGAATTTAATCTAAAATGGTTTGGAATTACGCACATTTTTTATACATTGAGTGAGATTTGATCAGTCTTGATTGGTATATAAGCATTCTATATGGATGGCCTCTATATAGCCCCTTTATGAAAAGCATAATTTGTAATGGAATAGATAGAATAAAGTTAGCAGTTCTAGTGAGGACTCGTATTTGGCTGAGTGTATATAAACTTACATCATAATGGCTAGCTACATCAAGGAAAACCGCATAGCATGCTCACACGCTACCAATCAAAACTGATCACACACACACACACACACTTCAGTCAACCAACATATTAACAATGGGTGTAAATTCCACACACCATTTCAAATTGAATTAAATCTTATACTCGCTCCACAAGTGAATGACTATCTAGACTCAGTGGAGATAACTCAACGATGCATGTAGCTAACTGTACTAAGTTTGAGTCCCGGAGTGGAGATCAACTCTACGATGTGGCAGGTACAACCAGCTAAATAGGACGAAACGCATGTCCTAGATCCCATTGCTAGCCCCACACTATATCAATGCTTACACGAATCAGTGTTAGAAACAAACGGTACAGGGTTCGAGTCCCGGATCCTACAACTAGTCATCAAATTCTATAAACAAAACATTTGTATTGAATAATTTTTCTTTCAATAATAATAAACAATCCACTCTACTTACTTCATATTCAACTAATTCATGCAAACGATTATTATTATTATTATCATTTGGACTAGTCAGTAAAACATGTTGATAATCGGATGAAATTAAATTAAACGGTAGATTGGAATGATTAAATTTCACTGTGCCATTATCATTATTACTATTATTATTATCCATTGTATGCATAGATGGTAGAAATGATTCAGTTACATGACTTTGACATACAGCTGAACATTTGGATCGTAATGCTTCAAAATCCGCTGAAAGTTGTTGTAATTGATTCTAGATTGATGATTGTTGATGTTGTTTGATGTGAAACACAAAAGAAAATGAAGAAAGAGGGGAAAAAAACTAAAATTAGTATCTTTGTGTAAAGATAGGATATATATATATATATATTGCGGAAATCACCCAACTGCGTCACACAGCAACACCGACCAACTTACTTGCAATCCTCAAGGCCAAAGGAAAAGAGGTAGATCAAAAAGCACATTCAGTCAGTCACTTGCAACGTAGAACTTCGTACGTATGTACATAAGTTCATGTTGCCATACCACATTATAAGCACAGAGACACGCAAATGTCAAATCAAATCCCATAGTGATAAAGATAGTAGAGGTATTAATGGTAATGAAGAAGACTGGAGTTCGAAGATATTATTCAAGAAGTATAATTCAGTGAGATAAGGTTAGAAAGACAAAGGTAGAGGTGTTGACGAATCCAGAAGATTAGGATTTGAGAGAGCACAACGAATGGATGCACTTGCGCCATTGCAAACGATATTGAGCCATGTCGTTCAAGGTCTCTAACCATTGGTGACTTACGTCTCGCGGACCCATACCCAGTAGCCTACATCTACCAACATGAATCAGTCAACTTGTCAGTGACTTCATGGATATCTGCCATGTTTTGGTCTGGCCGCTCCTAGCTTTCCTCCAACCTACTCCTACACCACAAAACATTGCTCTTCGAGACAGTCGGTGGTTAGCCATTCGTAACACATGTCCCAACCACCTAAAACTGATGAAGTTTCATTACTTCATCTGTTGATTTACCATCCCTACCTAGAACTCGTTTCTTAACGACAGCATTGCTTACTCGGTTGTCCCACGATATACGAGCAATGCTTATGAAACATCTGTGATTGAGTATAGTAGCCTACGAACATCTTCTACTCTCACTGGCCATGTTTCACAACCATATACGAGAACGGAGCGAACTGCTACGCAGTACACCCGTCCTTTGGTTAGCGAACGAATATCACGCCCAGGGCATAAGTGACGCACGTTGGCAAAAGTCAATCGAGCTTTCTGTATCCGCGCTGAGATCTCGTCAGTCACCAGGCCATCAGCACTGATAAGACTCTCCAGATAAGTGAAGTGATCAACACGCTCGACTAATTTTGTTAGGATAGTCATCCAATATCCTAAAATAATTCTTTGTAAGTTTAATTCTTTCTATAGGTCAATTCCTATTGGTCGTTCTAACACTATCAATGTCACAGACTTCAAATGTTATGTTCTTAATCGACCTAACTGTATAAATACGGATTATGTGTAACATTTTATGATCCGGACCCGGATTGTTGGTCCGGGGATCCCTGCCTTCTTCTGGACTCGGACCTTGTAATTATTTCTGGATGCTTGTAGAATACAGGTTCTACTTCATATCAAGAAGTCTTTCTCATTTACTCAATACGGGGGTTGGGACACTCGGATTAGAGTAGTCTGTCATGTCGCCGGATCCTCGCTTTCGCGATAGTTCAAGTAAATCAAATGACGTGTTTACGTGCATCCGTAAAAATATTATGCCAAGGAAGGGAGACAGACGTGGGACGAATGAACAACAATTGGACAGAACTAGAAAGAAAGGCTTAGGACAGAGTAGGTTTGAGAATGCTGGTCAGCAGCCTATGTGCCTCATTGTGGGTAACAGGAGTAAGTTAGCAAATAAGTAAGTAAGTAAGTAAGTGGGTTTTTCCTCTGTCAATAATGATAATAATAATAATAATAATAGACACGTTATTCACTGTTAGATACTTAGTTATAACAAAGTAATTATAGAACACATTGTGGTGTGAGCTACTTATAAGTAGTATATGACATGCGTGTCAGAGTAATGTCTGGCAGCAGAAGATGGGGGGGGGGGGAGATCAAGAGAAAGGAAGAGTTAGAACACAATGAAATTTGTATGAAACGCATGAATAGTGAGTGATAATGGATTGATGTTTTGCAACAGGAACAGTCCAGTTCGATATGATGATGAACTGATATTTTGCAAATTAACGAACGATTTACGATATGGTTTTCCTATTTTACTGAGTAACTCTGTAATTTTCGTTAAATACAATTCGATTGCCCTCACCTATGTTCTCGTTCACTACAACATAGATGAACAATTATAATATAGTCTACTTTCATTGTAAATAGTGTTTGGATTTTCATTCATTTTTACTTATTTTTGACAACCATCTCACTCTCTCTATGAATATTTGACGCATAAATGATACATCTTATAATTAGGATGTTTAAAAATTGAACTTCTAATAACTTATTCCTAGAAGCGCTGAAAGGTCATTTCTTCCTCGCATGAGACTCATCAATATTACGCATCCGCGTTCCTACATCCCAGAATCAAATACAGGACCGTCGGTCTCGCGCGCAAACATTGAGCCTATGGACTATTTTGAGCCGGCAGTCAATGGTGTTAATACTTACTTGCTTACTTACTCCGTCTACCCCTAATGGAGCAGCATAGTGTTATGCTCCTCAAATGATAGGCTTGAAACTATTACGAGTTTAGCTTAGTCGGTAAACCAGAGCGAAGACCAATGATACAGTGACACGATAGGCTACTATAAACCGAGAGTCCCAAGGCTTCCACTAAGTAGAGACGAAGAAGAAGGTTAGAACACACAGGTTACAGAACACAAAGAATGGATGCAACTGCGTAATTGCAAACGATTTTTAGACTTGTCACTCAGTCTCTAACTATCGGTTGTCATCGTCTCACGGAATCCTAACAATATGGCTCGGTTAAGCTTTCAGTGACTTCATGCGTTTGGTCTCTAGCTTTCTTCCAACCTACTCTTACATCACAAAACATAGCTCGTCGAAGCAGTCAGTATCTAGACATTCATAACACATGTCCAAACTACCTAAACCGATGAAGTTTCATTACTTTATCTATTGATTTGCCATTCCTACTTAGTACTCGTTTCATAACTATAGGATTGCTTTCTCGGTCGTCCCAGGATTTACGAGCAATGATTCGAAGACAAGCGATCTACGAATGTTTTCCACTCATAACGGTCATGCTTCACATTCATATAGTAGGACAGAGCGAACTGCTGAGCAGTACACTCGTCCTTCGGTTAGCAAACGGATATCTCGTCTACGCCATAAGTGACGCAACTTGACAAAAGCCAGTCGACCCTCTGTATTCGTGCATCACTCCCTATCATCAGCTCAGGTGCCAATACAAGCCAATCTTGAAGCAACATTTTGCACTTCAAGGGGGAAAACCTCATCCCGAACATTCTTGCATTGTTGCTCAGGGTAGTCAGAAGACTCTGCATTTTGTCAGCGTCTTCACCGAGTCAGCAAGCGTGTGTCCTAATAAAATATCAACTCAAGAACCGTCAGACAATGATAATGTTAACTCTAGAAGTATATCTACGACAACGCTAAACAAGAATGGGGAAAGTGGACATCCCTGACGGACACCACTTGAAGTACAGAATTCCGATGACAATTCGCCGTAAGCTCTCACTCGACCAGTGATGTTCGAGTAGAGAGCTTGTATAAGGTTAATGTACTTCTTTGGTACACCTTTCAATGACAGACACTGTCACAGAACTGCCAAAGAGTTAGCACGCGTCTCATTCAGGGAGCCTGGGAACACTGCGCATTTATATCACAGTGACTAAATAAAACTGTCGTTTGTATTGAATCAAAATAGTTTTTTTTTCTCTTCATTAAAACAGATTAAAAAAAAAAACTAAACTTACTTGAAGATCTGTATTGTGTAACTGTAGCGCTTCATAATCACGTATAGGAACAGATGTAGGATATCGAGATGGACGTAATGCTGGATGCCTATTGACAAAATATGAAATCAGCTAGAAAAATAATGAACACTAAGAAACAGTATGGATGATAATCACAAAGTTGCCGTGTTTCTGGGAGAAATATTAGCAAAGTATGCTGGTTGTAATATCGCAAAGGATAAGGAACTCAGGATTTTCAGATAAGCCACGCTCCTAACTGTTAGGTCAGTCAATTACAATGTAGAACTTCGTATGTACGTTCACCAGTTCAGATTACTTACTTACGCCGGTTACCCCCAATGGAGCATAGGCCACCGACCAGTTTTCTCCAATCAACTCTCTCCTGAGCTTCCCTTTCCAGTTTTGTCTAATTTTTGTTCATTCCTCTCATATCCTTCTCTATTCCTTGGCCTTCCTCTTTTCCTTTTGCCTTGAGGCTTCCATGTGAAGACGTGTCTTGTGACGCAGTTAGGTGCTTTTCGTAGTGTGTCCTATCCACTTCCACCGCTTCTTCCTGATTTCCTCCTCCACTGGAATCTGGTTTGTTCTGTCCCACAGTACGATGTTGCTGATGGTGTCTGGCCAACGAATCCGAAGTATTTTGCATAGACAACTGTTCATAAACACTTGTATCTTGTGGATGATGGCTTTCGTAGTTCTCCAAGTTTCCGCTCCATACAGTAGAACTGTCTTGACACTTGTATTAAAAATCCTGATTTTGGTGTTGATTGATATTTGTTTGTAGTTCCAGATATTTTACAACTGTAGAAATGGAGCCCTTGCTTTGCCAATCCGCACCCTCACATCTGCATCGGATCCACCTTTCTCGTCAATGATGCTGCCAAGATATGTAAAGGTGTTAATGTCCTCCAAGGCATCTCTATTAAGAGTGATTTGGTTGGTGCATGTTGTGTTGCATCGGAGAATTTTCCTTTTTCCTTTATGTATGTTGAGACCTTCTGCTGCAAAGGCTGCTGCTACACTGGTCGTCTTCTCTTGCATTTGTTGTTGCGTGTGCACCAGTTCAGACTGCCATACAATATAAGCACAGAGCGACGCAATTGTCACTTCAAATCCCATAGTAGTAGAAGTATTAGCGGTATTCGGAGAGATTAGGATTTGAGGATAATATATTCAAGAAGTAGAATCTAATGAAATAAACTTAAAAATCAGTAAGACAAAGGTGATGAGGAACACCGAAGGTTGAGACTTGACAGAACACAAAGAGTGGATGAAACTGCGCCTTTGAAAATAATTTTGAACCATGTCATACAAGGTCTCTAAGCATCGATTACTATCATCTCGCGAGCCTCAAACAAGTAGTCTACACCTACCAACATGAATCAATAAATAAATTTGTGGGATTTAAAGGGCGACATAAGACAATTTCAGAATTCAAGACCTAAGTCAGTCAGTCAGTTACAACATAGAACTTCGTACGTAAGTACATAAGTTCATGTTGCCATACCACATTATTAGCACAGAGACGCAAATGTCAAATCAAATCCCATAGTGATAAAGATGGTAGAGGTATTAATGTTATAATAAAGAAGACTAGGGTTTAAGATATTATTCAAAAAATATAATTCAGTGAGATAAGGTTAGAAAGACAAAGGGAGAGGTGCTGGCTAATCCAGAAGATTAGGATTTGAGAGAGCTCAAAGAGTGGATGCACCTGCGCCATTGCAAACGATTTTGAGCCATGTCGTTCAAGGTCTCTAACCATTGATGACTTTCGTCTCGCGGACCCCAACCAGGTAGTCTACATCTACCAACATGACTCAGTCCACTTGTCAGTGACTTCATGGATTTCTGCCATGCTTTGGTTTGGCCGCCCCTAGCTTTCTTCCAACCTACTCCTACACCACAAAACATAGCTCGTCGAGGCAGTCGGTGGTTAGGCATTCGTAACACATGTCCCAACCACCTCAAATGATGAAGTTTCACTACTTCATCGATTGATCTGCCATCCTTACCTAGTACTCGTTTCCTAACGACAGCATTGCTTACTCGGCTGTCCCACGATATACGAGCAATGCTTCTTAAACATCTATGATCGAATACTAGTAACCTACGAACATCTTCTACTCTTAACGGCCATGTTTCACAGCCATATAAGAGAACGGAACGAACTGCTGCGCAGTACACCCGCCCTTTGGTTAGCGAACGGATATCACGCCTACGCCATAAGTGACGCAGGTTGGCAAAAGCCAATCGAGCCTTCTGTATCCGAGCTGAGATTTCGTCAGTCACCAGACCGTCAGCACTGATGAGACTCCCAAGATAAGTGAAGTGATCTACACGCTCGACTACTTCACTCCCTATCACTAGTTCAGGTGCCAATGCAACCCAGTCTTGAAGCAACATTTTGCATTTCGAGGGGGAAAACCGCATCCCGAACATGCTCGCATTGTTGCTTATGGTAGTCAGAAGACTCTGCATTTTGTCAGCGTCTTCACCGAATAGAACTATGTCATCGGCATATTCTAGATCAGTAAGCCAAGACCTAAGAGGTAACAAAGAGTGAAAATATGGTGGTTTTACAATGATTGATGGTGAAGAAGATTTGTAGCTCAGGTGGATGATTGTGGTGGTGATGTTTCGTTCTCTGAGCTGGTTGTTTTGGTTGTGGAGCTTTCATAGTTCTCCTGCTGAACAACATCATCAGTACAAACTTCAGATAGAAGTGAAGCATTCGAATTTCTCCACGTTTGACCTGTAGCTTGTTCTGCTAACCTCGATCTTGATTGGTTGCTGTTGACCTTTAACCTGTCGTTGTTTGCACCTTTGTTTTGATTGCATCCCCCTTTTGACCTGTTTCTTGATCCCATGTCACCTATGATTTTCCTGATTGGTTGATAGATTGGGTCAATGTCGATGTGTTTGTTGATTGCTGATTGACCTGAGTGCCAAGCTTCTAAAATGAAAGCTCCACAACCGAAACACCCAGCTCAGAGAACCAAACACCACCACAATGATTGATTCATGATTCCTATGAAAAACAACCATCTACATAATTCTATAATAAATATCATACACTGACTCGTTCACTAATGACTAGCTTCGTCAGTAAATTCTCAGAGTTCTAGTTGAGAAGACGTGACCAGTAGAGTTCAACTCTGTCAGGAGTAGGCAGAGTAATTATCGAAGTAAATGGGTGAGGTTGCGCAAACCCTTAGTTAGACTGTGCGGTGGCCGATTTTGCTGACGTCGGGCTCACCATTTTGTAATGTGTGTCGATTTATTGCGTGTTCTTAAGCTCGGTTTATAAATCGGAACATGAACTCGTATTGATGAATACGTTTATTCGGGACACACCACAAAGCGAAGCGAATCAGAGAAGGCTAAGAGCCAACTCCTTGGATTACAATGCGAGCGAATGGGTGAAGCGAATTGGAGAAGGCTAAGAGCCAACTCCTTGGATTACAATGCGAGCGAATGGGTGGAGCGAATTGGAGAAGTCTAAAAGCCAACTCTTTGGATTACAATGCGAGCGAATGGGTGAAGCGAATTGGAGAAGGCTAAGAGCCAACTCAAAGAGATAGAGTATGACTAAGAATATATAGTCAGATAAGAATAAGACAGACATATGACAGCGGAGTAGGCATGCATAGACATGAATAAAAGCGACGAATGATTGACAAGGTAAGAAGCAAGCGATACAAATCATGTGAGTTCATGGGGAAATTAAGAGATTAACATCAAAGCGAAAAGGATGAGTAAGCGCGTAGGCGTAAGCAATGCTCAGTCGTATAAGCTCATACAAAGCAGATAATAAAAAATACCAATGAGTTATTGCTGTACAAATGGCTTGGTTAAATAAATTAATCGGAAGGGCTTAAGTAAATTAGATGTAAGAGAAGTGGAATATATGTGGAGGCACTACAAGACATTACCACTGTTGGATGCTGGCCTAGTGATCTAGAGGTTAGGCATTATTCGCGTGCAAACCAAAACGTTCTGAATACGATTATGGGATATGCGGGTCATGAATGTACACTGCTGCCGATGAATCACCCCATACTAAGACGAAACACCTACCCAATGCTTTCAAGTTCCTAATAATAATGATCTAACACATTGATCGATTTAACGATTTCTTAATGAAATCACTGAAAGTTACACATTTTAATTTACTATTAATATTCACATATGTCAATGACATTTTTTATCAAACATCCATAAGTACACATTTGAAATCATCAATCAATCATTGTTAGACCACCATTAGAAACCTGGAAGCACTGGACGGCCGTCTCGTCCTGGTATGGAACTCATCAGCAGTGCGCATCCACGACTCCTGCTCCTCGCAGGATTCGAACCCGGGACCTTTGGCATTGTAGGCGAACGCCTTACCATAGGACCACTGAGCCGGCATCCAACGGTGTTAATGTCTAACTCTGATTAATCCAAAACTCTGCCCCAAAATATCGTAACAGTGCTCACTAGTGACTAGCTTCGTGAGGAAATTCTCGGAGTTCTGGTTGAGAAGACGTGACCAATGGAGTTCAACCATGTCGGGTGTTGGCAGTAACTACCAAAGACAAATGAGTGAGGTCGCGCAAAATCCCTAGATCAATCAGAGTTAGACATTAACACTGCTGGATGCCGGATCAGTGATCCAGAAGTTAGGCGTTCGCGCACAAAACCGAAGGTCCTGTCTTCGAATCCTGCAAGGAGCAGGAGTCGTGGATGCGCACTGCCACTGATGAGTCCCATACCAGGACGAAACGGCCGTCTTTCAGTGCTTCCAGGTTTCTAATGGTGGTCTAACAATGATTGATTGATGATTTCAAATGTGTAAAAACGCAAACCTCCAAAACTCTGCCCCAAACACGCATAAGTACACTTCTATTTTTTTTTTTGTGCTTAAAAATGACCTTTTAACATTTATTGATATAATGATATAATCAATGTGAATTTAATATTTAATTATCAGAACAATGACAGTGAATACAAAAAATAAAAAAATCAATTTTTTTGTTGTTTTTTTTGTTTTAAAACTTACAAGGCGTCAATAGAATCGGAATGAAGTATTTCTTGACGTACTTTTTCAATCCAATCATCATATTCATCATTTGACTGTGAATGATGATAATTATCAGTATTATCAGTATGATTGACTTTGGAATATAATTCAGTTGATGACATAGTTCGATTCTCGTTAGTACTCATCTACAAGATAAACATAAGGAGAAATCAATAGGAGTGTATCATCATTGAACGCCATCGCGGACGACTTAATAGTGCGTACCCATGACCCCCACCTGAGATAGAACCCAGGAAAGGACATATGACTAATAAGACTAAATCAGTCGAATCGTTTGCATTAGCGGAGCGAGGTGATAAAACAACGTGGAGATAAGAAAGTTATCAAGAGGTGTAAGAAAGACTTGATTGTGACTAATTTGGTCTCGTGTGCTGTTTAGAGTATGAAAGTGAATGATATCTTCCAGGGCTGCTCACAACATGGAAAGGTTTTCTCGAGAAACCTGAAAAACAAATTGAATTTGAGTTGGTCTTAGGGAACTGGGTGCGTGACCGCAGCGCCTGTTCTTGTGAAAAGGCAGCATCGTTGCAGATGTAGGTTGTTTGAGGGAAACATGTTACCGCTGTCACATCCCTCTACAATCAGTCAGCAGTACGACTTCGCCCTCACACGCTGAGTAGCTGCTTTTAGTCTTAGCATTCTCTAATTGACCTGTTTGGGATGGTTAAACCTACAGGAACATATATCCCAGCCAATAAGGCACGGTTGGGTCATCACGACAGGCAAACCCAAGGTAGCAGCTACGGCCGGGAATAAGACCAAATTATCTGTATCAAATGTTATTAATATTTTATCTCCAACTGTTGACCAATATCACGTGACAAATACAAGTCACCAATCAAAACTAAGTTTAGCACCAGTAACCCTCTCTCTACCCTACTTCCTAGTGCAGAAGTACGTACCCAACCAGCCTCCACAAAATTCGTTATATATATATATACATATATATATGTATATATATATATATATATATATATATCATCCCATAGTAGTGGAGGTAACAGAAGTATCAGTGGTAATGGAGAAGGTTAGGGTTCGAAGATATTATTATTTCAAGAAGCCCAATCCAGTGAAGTAAATTTAAAAGGAAAATCAGCAGTCATGAGGAACTGAGATGATTAGAATTTGAGAGAAGACAAAAAAATGGATGCATCCGCGCCATTGCAAACCCAATTCCAACCAAGTCATCATTCAAGCTCCTCTAACCATCGATTTCGATTGTCTTGCGCATCCCAACCACGTAGACTACTACACCTACCAACATGAGTCAGTTCAATTGTCAGTGATAGTATAATCTATTAACTGAATAATTACCGAGCGGAACTACAAACAATAACAATTCTGGAAGTTACCATTCGTTGAATCCTTTAGCTGATAAGGCAGGTACATTTCCAACTTCAATCAATGAATCATTTAGAATAATGTTTAGTCAACCGCTGACATCGGCGGCCTATGCTCCATTGGGGGTATTGTAATGCTTGCTTAGATAATTCCCAGCTAATTCCTATTGCTTAGTATTCTCTGACCACAATACACTGGACAAGTTCCCAAGAATCAAAACACGGTTGAACAGGAAAAGATTATATTCCAAATAGCAAGGTTAAATGGAAATAAGAAGCCAAAGGTGATGGCGAAGGCGAAGGCAAAGATAGATACAACGTTAGTCTATTTATAGCATTTACATGAGAAAGCTTCTGGATAGAAATTCACGTGATCGACTGGATTAGATTTAACCAATCAGCACGCAGCTAACAATACGAGAATCTTCTACCCTGTTCTCCAAGATTCGATCAGGCGCTGATTGGATAGGAAATTAGCCAATCAGCGCGCAGCAACGTAGTCATGCTTTAATTCCATCTATGTCCCCCTAAAATCTCCCCTTTGAGAAGATTCGTAGGATCTGGTGCTAGGGTCCAACTGCAACCGAGTGACTGGCTTGTACTTTCGATTAGTCCATCTTCTCGGCAATAAGGAAGTTGACGTACCCAAACTTCTGAGCCAACTGACACCTCATAAATCACATTCCCTTTCTTTTTTAAAATCCGACCAGCTGTCCATGCAGGATGTTTTCCACGATAGTCCATAGCAAGTACTTTTTGACCCGCTGTGAACGATCGTCTTTTTGCCCTATGGTGTCGATTGAACTGCTTCTCCGTCGACAGGTTTCGCTGAGGCTCAAGAGCTGGTGTAGGACGGATGACATCAAAATGTGTTCGTAAATTTCTACCAAGTAGAGCTTCCGCAGGTGAGACTCCGTCAATCGTCTGAGGGTTCGGTGTAGAGCGATAAATAAGCAGGAACCTCTCTAAGATCACTTCGGTGGTCCCCTCCCCTTTAGATAACAAGCTTCAGTAAGTAATTAACTGCTGACATGTTTGCATCATCTTACAATTACAACTTCTCATTGAATACTACTACTACTACTACTACTACTACCAAAAAAAAAAGAATTCTTCACATAAAATCAATAATCAATTGACTACTTACTCACTAATCAATGAAATGATTATTTATTATTCAAATCAAGCGATGAAATATCTCAGAAACCAAACAAAAAAACACTTACATCATTATTACTATTATTATTATTGGCAGTAGCAGTAGTAGTAGTAGTAGTAGTAGTACGATCAATATATGAATTGTTTTCATCAAGTTTTATAATATCACATTGTACATTGACATCATGACGTGAAATGATTGGCTGTTGCGTTGATGTTGTTGTCACAGGGGTTTCAACAGTTTGACTGACTTCTTGTTTAACTTCAGTGGCATTAAGATTATTATTATTGTCGTCTGTTAAACGCTTGAAAAAAAGGAATTATTGAAAAAAATTTTAAAAAGGTTAACACTATTTAAAATAAACGAAGCAGAACTGAGGTAACTGATGATGAATGCTCACTCACACACACAAAGTGGCTTATTAAGTAGTATGCAATGGCAGAGAGTTGCCTACAGTCAGTCAGTCAGTTTGTGGTGTGTGCTACTTATACGAACGATATAAGTAGTATAAGAAGGGACGTGAAAGAAGAAGTCTTACGGTCAGAAGAGGAAAACGGAAAGCAAATGCAGCAAAAGCAAGAAGGAAATGGAGTAGTACCAACAGGAAGGAAAGGAAGCGACAACAGGAATGGAAGAATGATGATGGAGTGTTGGAAGTCAGGACTCAAAGATGGTGTGCAAATAGAGTGTTCAATGTAATGTTTTCTTTGACTAAGAGTGTAAATTTGCTAAATACAATTTATTGAGCCTGCCTCAGTCTTCTCAAGTTTACAATGTACAACTTCGTACGTACGTACATAAGTTCAAGTTGCCATACAACACATTAGCACAGAGATGCAATTGTCACTTCAAATCCCATAGTGGTGAAGATAGTGTAGAAGTATTACTAGTAATCGGAGAAGATTAAGGCTAGAAGATACTATTCAAGAAGTATAATTCAGTGAAATAAATTTAGAAAGAGAAAGATAGAGATGATGAGTAATTCAGAGGGTTAGAATTTCAGAGAACACAAAGAGTGAATCCACCTGTGCCACTACAAACAATTTTGAGTCATGTCATTCAAGGTCCCTAAGCGTCGATTACTATCGTCTCGTTGACACCAGCCTGGTAGATTAGATCTACCAACATGGGTTATAGTTCAGTTGTCAATGAATGACATAATGGATGTGTTCCATGATTTAGTTACCAGTGTTTTTTTAGCCATTTCCAATCGATAATGTTCTTGTATCAGGTCCAATGAAAAGAAGTAATACTGGTGTTGATTTGCTAACTGCAGAAAGATATTTTTTTTCAATTTTGGACATGAAATGACATTGTCTTACCTGTACAATGACATACAACCTATGTAAATCACACTTAATTAGTTAGTCCCGACCGAAGCTGCTACCTTGACGTGGTGGTCGGGCTTGACTATCCTGATGACCCAACCGAGCTATACTGGCTGGAACACATGTTCCTCAAGTTTCTACCATGCCAGGCTGGTCGATTGGAGAACGATGAGACTAAAAGCAGCTACCCAAGGTCTGAGGGCGAAGTCGTACTGCTGACTGCAGAGGGGTGTGACAGCAGTAAGGTGTTTCCCTCGGACAACCAGCATCTGCAGCGATGCTGCCTTCTCACAAGGAAGGAAGGGTTAGAAAAGGTCGGCCCTAAAAATGTCACACCTCACCCTACCTCACGGATTTCCGTCTCCTTGGGTAAGGGTGCCCACTAAGGGCCTTTAAGAACGGAGCTAATCCTCTAAATACCTCTCATAAAAAGGCCGTGCGTGACCGGCCTGAAGCAGTTGTCCCTTGGACTCTGCGGTCACGCACCAACACTAATCCATCTTCCTTTTCAGGTCCTCCAAGAAACAACCTTCCACGGTGTGGACAGCCGGGAAGTGATAACCGCCCTCATACCCGCAACAGCACACGAGACAAAATTGTTCAAAATCAAATCCTTCCTACATTCCCTAATACCTCTCTTATCTCCACAACTAACTCTTCTCACATTCATTTATTAGAGTGCACAGCTAATGCAAACGATGCGAGTTTGCGAAACGTCGTTCCTGGTCTCCTTAAACCCCGTTCCAAACTACATGTTGGAGCATTCAATGTACGGACATTGTGTCAAAAAGGGCGACAGGCGTCATTAGCTAGGACTTTAGAATCTCGTTCCATCGATGTGTGCTGCGTCTCAGAAACGCGCATACAGAATCCGAGTAGCATCACTCATTTGACCTCACCATGTCAAGATAAAGAAGCAGCTCGATTTACCCTTCGTGTATCCGGTAGCCCTGATGCTGCTTCTAGGGGCCTCGCCGGTGTAGGTATAGCATTGAGTCGTAGGGCAGAACAATCTCTCCATGACTGGATCCCTGTAGATAGTCGCTTGTGCGCCGTCCGACTCAACGGGACAGTAAGGACTCGGAAAGATAGGGACAATCGCCGTTGCCTCTTCGTCATATCAGCCTACGCCCCCACTGAATGCAGTTCAGATGAGGTTAAAGATGAGTTTTACAGAAAGCTCTCGGACCTCCTCCAAAAAGCTAGGCGCTCTGATATAGTAATAATGGCTGGTGACTTTAATGCTCAAGTAGGTAGACTAAGTGAGCAGGAGAGACACCTTGGTGGATGTTACGGTCTCGCGGCTCAAAGAACAGACAATGGCGACCGTCTGTTGCAACTGTGCTCAGATAACCAACTATTTCTAGCAAACACTAATTTTAAGCATAAGGAAAAACACCTTTTAACCTGGCGACCCCCGAAGTCGTCTCAACGTTGGACACAACTAGATCATATCGCCATCAGCCACCGATGGAGGGGTTCGATAGAGGACTGTCGCTCGTTCTGGGGCACATGTTTAGATTCAGATCATGCCCTAGTGCGAGCACGTATTTGTTTGAGGCTTGCTGGACGTAGGAGAGACACCGTAAGGAAGCCTCTTAGGGCTTTACTTGATGATAATCAAGCTAAGAAAATATTTCAGGAGGAACTAGAAAAACAGTTGGGCGATCATGCAAGTGATTCCCATCCTGAAGCAGGTTGGAATCATATCAAGAAGGCTGTGGAAACAGCAGTGATATCTGCTAGCAAGGTAAACCATAAGGCTAGGATGAAGCCGTGGATTTCAGTCGCATCCACCGAACTGATGGATGCACGAAAACGCATCCCACCTGACTCGGAACATGATGAAGAGCGTACTCAACTTAGGTGCAGACTTATAAAAAGCCTACGTAACGACCGTGAACAGTGGTGGGTGGCGAAAAAAAAGCGATGGAAAAGGCAGCGGCGATAGGCAACACTAGACAACTTTTCCGCCTTATCAAAGAAACCGGTATTAGGAACCCGAATGTAAGTGAGACTATCTCGGAAAAGGATGGTCTTATTATCCATTCTCAATCTAGGAGGCTGGACCGATGGGCAGAACACTTTAGGGATCAGTTCAACTGGCCTTCAGCCACTCTTCGGTCGCCCACGATCTCCAGTCATCCTGAATGGCAAATCGATTTAAGTCCTCCCAGTTTACATGAAGTTGAGAAAGCTATAGGAAATCTAAGGAGAGGTAGAGCGGCAGGTCCCGATAGGCTTACCCCTGAGATGTTTAAGGATGGTGGTCCAGTTTTAACGGTTAAACTGACCGAGATCCTAGGTAGAATCTGGGAAATGGACGTAATCCCATCCGACTGGTCTCAGTCGCTAATTGTCCCAATCTACAAGAAAGGACAGAAGTCCTCTTGTGACAATCACAGGGGAATAAGTCTAACTAATATAGTTTCTAAATTGTTAGCCTCCATTATCCTTAGACGCCTAACTATGGCTCGTGAAGAGCAGACTCGAGAAAACCAGTCTGGTTTCAGACCTGGACGTGGTTGTATAGACCACATCTTCACACTACGACAGGTCCTGGAACACAGACACACATTTAGACGTCCGACAATATTCTTGTTCCTGGACCTAAAAGCGGCATTTGACTCTTTCGATCGTAAGGTTCTGTGGCAGTGTCTGTCATTGAAAGGTGTACCAAAGAAGTACATTAACCTTATACAAGCACTCTACTCGAACACCACTGGTCGGGTGAGAGCATATGGCGAACTGTCATCTGAATTCTCTACATCAAGTGGTGTCCGTCAGGGCTGTCCACTCTCTCCATTCTTGTTCAACTTTGTCGTAGACATCCTCTTACAGTTAACATTAAGCTCGTCAGATTTTTCAGGGGTTGACCTTCTACCAGGAAAGTCGCTTACTGATCTGGAATATGCCGATGACATAGTTCTATTCGGTGAAGACGCTGACAAAATGCAGAGTCTTCTGACTACCATAAGCAACAATGCAAGCATGTTCGGAATGCGGTTTTCCCCCTCGAAATGCAAAATGTTGCTTCAAGACTGGGTTGCTTCGGCACCTGAACTAGTGATAGGGAGTGAAGTAGTCGAACATGTCGACCGATTCACTTATCTCGGTAGTCTCATCAGTTCTGATGGCCTGGTGACTGATGAGATTTCAGCATGGATACAGAGGGCTCGATTGGCTTTTGCCAACCTACGTCACCTATGGCGTAGGCAATATATCCATTCGCTGACTAAAGGACGAGTGTACTGTGCAGCAGTTCAACCCGACATGTTATATGGATGCAACACATGGCCGGTAATAGTAGAGGATATTCGTACGTTACTAGTATTCAATTGTAGGTACCTTCGAAACATTGATCGTGTATCCTGGGACAACCGTATAAGCATTGCTGTCGCTAGGAAACGAGTACTAGGTAAGGATGGCAGATCAATAGATGAAGTATTGAAACTTCATCAGTTGACATGGTTAAGAAATGTGTTACGTATGTCTAACCACCGACTGCCTCGACGAGTTATGTTTTGTGGTGTAGGAGTAGATTGGAAGAAAGCTAGGGGCGGCCAAACCAAAACATGGCACAAATCCATGAAGTCATTGACAAGTGAACTGAGTCATGTTGGTATACGTGGGCTACTTGGTTGGGGGTCCTCAAGATGTAAGTCACCAATGGTTACAGACCTTTAACGATATCGCTCAAAATTGTTTGTAGTGGCGCTGGTGGATTCACTCTTTGTGTTCTATGAAATTCTAACCTTCTGAATTCATCATAATCCCTATCTTTCTCTTTCTAACTTTATCTCACAGAATTATACCCTCATATTCTCCATTACTGCTAATACTTCTACTGTAGTAAAGGAGAACACAGGTGGGGCAACCGGATTGTATTTAACGAAAATTACAGAGTTACTCAGTAAAATTGGAAAACTATATCGTAAATCGTTCATTTGCAAAATATCAGTTCATCATATCGAAGTGGATTGTTCCTGTTGCAAAACATCACAATCCATTGTCACTATTCATGCGTTTCATACAAATTCCATTGTGTTCTAACTCTTCCTCCTTTCTTGATCTTCCCCCATCTTCGGCTGCCAGACATTACGTTGACGCTCACGTCATATACTACTTATAAGTAGCTCGCACAACATCACCACACTACTATTACTACCAGTATTGGACGTGAACTGACAGCTATGTCTCTGCGCCAATGTGTTGTACGGCAACCCGGGTTGATGGACATACGTACGAAGTTCTGTGTTATATCTGTCTGTCTGTCTGTACATATTTGAAGAAGATATAATTTTATTGACAAATTATGTACACACAACCTTCAGATATCGATTTGCTATTCCAGCAGGATTTTCATTGTTATCTATTCTAACATCAAATTCTGATCTTTAATACACACCATTCACGCCACCCATTTTCATCTACATTGTACTCACCTATTAACAACAACTTTTAGGTGACGCTCAGTTACATACTACTTGAATGTCATCGATCTTATGAGTAGTATCCATCATTGTAAATCATTGAATAGTTACCATTAAAATTATTATTCAACAGTGAATGAATGATACCGTTGCTTATTCTTTTTAGTCAAATTGTCAGTCAATGCGTAATCTGCAACACTAAGTGTGGTATTCAACATTCATCGGTCAGTCAGTCAGACAGATGCAACGTAGAACTTCGTACGTAAGTACATCAGTTCATGTCGCCATACCACATCAGCACACAGATGTAATTGTCAATTCAAATCCAATAGTAGAAGAGGTAGTAAAGGTATTTGAAGTAATTGGAGAGGTTAGGATTAGAAGATATTCAAGAAATATGATTCAGTGAGAAAAGTTTAGAAAGTCAAAACTAGAGTTGTTGAAGAATCCAGAAGATTAGGATTTGAGAGAACACAAAGAATGAATGCACCGGCGCCATTGCGAACGGTTTTGAGCCATGTCATTCAGGGTCTCTAACCATCGATTATTATCATCTCGCGGACCCTAACCAGGTAGTCGACAATTACCGACATGGCTAAGTTCACTCGTCAATGATTTCATGGATTTCTGCCATGTTTTGGTTTGGCCACCCCCAACTTTCTTTCAACCTATTCCTACACTACAAAACAAAGCTCGACGAGGCAGTCGGTGGTTAGGCATACGCAACACGTGTCCCAACCACCTCAACTGATGGAGTGTCACTACTGAGTCTATTGATCTGCCATTCTTACCTAGCACCCGTTTCCTAATAAAAGCGTTGCTCACTCAAGTGTCCCACGATATACGAGCAATGTTTCTAAGACACCTATGATCGAAAACCAATAGCCGACGAATATCTTCTACTTTCATTGGCCATGTTTCACAGCCATAAAGGAAGACAGAGCGAACTACTGCGCAGTACACCCGTCCTTTAGTCAGCAGATGGATATCTCACATTCATCGGAAACAACCACAACACCAACAACAACATTGACTCTATTGTTTTGGTTTTTTTTGTTATAGAAAAAAAACATTTCACAAACATTTCAATCATAAAACTGAACTATATGAGAGATTATACTCACTTTTAATTCAAATTGTAATTCATTAATACGATTTTTAAGTTTAACAGTTTGACGATCATAATCTGAAATTGTTTCTTCAAAATAAGCTAATTTATCTGAATGAGATTGTTCCATTTGTTTTAATTTAGCTAATGTTTCATCTGTTCAATATGGGAGAGAACAAAGAAAAAACAATCAATGAATTGTGATTAACGCGTTGTATTATTTCTTTTTTTGAATAAACTGTACATAACTCTAATTGAAAATATTGTAAAATATGCTCACTGGTGGACTAGTTTCATGAGGAAATTCACGAAGTTCTTTCTAGTTGAGAAGACACCGGCCAGTGTGTAGTTCAACCCTGTGTCCGAAGTAGGCAGTAACTACTGAATGAAGATGAATGGGTGAGGTTGCACCGAAATCCCTAGATGCCAGCCCAGTGGTCCAATGGTTAGGCGTTAGCGCACAATACCGAAGGTCATGG